ATCTCTGTCTTCCTGAGAAACCACTTTGAAGATACCACCATGTATTACAGCAGCCATTGATATTTTCCTACTAATCTATCCATAACTCTCTAATGTTTGTATTGTTCCTATCCTATTTCGTAAATGGATCCATGTTTATTATTATGTGTTTCCTACAACAACCATTGAGAATAGTCAATGATTATTCAATAGGTCACTCATGTATAGCTCTATTTATTTTCTTTAGAAGCCACTTTGAAGATACCAAAGTATAGTACAACAACTACTGATAATCTACTATGTCTTTTGTCTGTAACTCACTATTATTTGTCTATTTGTTTTCCTGAGAAACTATCTTGTAGACCATTGATAATTTCCTACCACTTTGTCCGTAATTTGGTAAGCCCCCCCCTATTATTATGTTATCCTTCTTTTACTCTTTAAAATAAAAAAAAAAATTTGAGATGAAAAATTTCTATTCCATCCATAGATTCTAAACGATGTACCAAACATAAGAGTAGTGTAAGAATTCTAAATGACTTCAGTGCAAACAATAATAAAATACTCCTAGATGCCCTCATACTAATACCAAAAATATAGACAATGCCAGAGAACAAAAACAGCAACAAAAACAAATGAATAAATACAGAAATATTCTATATGAAATACTTGTACTCTAGATTACATGAAGATTCATTTTGGATTCACCAAGTAATTTTATTCATATCACAGTTTGATCACCTCTTCACAGAGGAAAAACTGCCAAGCTCTTGAATTAACTCACTTATAATTTACATAAGCCAGCAGCAATCTTGGGAATAGCCCTGTGACAGTAGTTATGAATTCCATGCTCTGGTTATGTCTCCTCTAGTCAGTGTAAGAATCTCACTTCTCTGTTCCATTTATTGTTAATCAGGACAATCCCAATATCATCAAAAAATCTAGCCCATAAAAGTCTCTCTAAAAAAAGAAAAAGAAAAAAAATCCTCCTAACCTCGAAATTCCAGAAATGTATTTACCAACCAAATTTACTGTATGTTTTTTGCTTTCTATTTCTGCTTCACAGATGCTGGAAGAAATGCAGACCTAGTAATGATTTTAAATGTTAGTCCTAATCCTCCCCTGGCTATATTTAAGATTTCTAGAAAATTCTGACAATGTACTTCTTCAGTATGTCCCTTAAGAGCACCTAAGGGTGTTCACATACTCTTTAGAACTAAGGCAATATCACACTGTCATCCTAGATGCCCTTTCCTGAACAAGTAAAATATTCTTTGTCCT